AAACTACGACATAACGCTGAAAGGCGATTGTAACGTACACCTGCGTTTTCTAATGTAGTCGTGTTATTAGCGAATCGTTATATTTGACATTAACAGCATATATGAACCACTTATATATTATATATATTTAATTTAATGTACAACATTATTTGCCGACCGTGTTCACCTGGTCGTAAGGTTACGGACAAGGGCAACAATATTCTTAATCACTTTGAAAGTCTACGACTCATTGTAAAAAAGGGCATTTGAAATCTAGCATCATGAGACATCCTTGAACACAACCAATGCATTTTCATACAAAAATCATGACATAAGCCGCGCCATGACAAAACCGACATAATGGATGCGCAGGCTGGTCTGGATCCATGCTGGTCGCAAACGCACTATGTTGGTTTTGTCGTGACGCGGCTCATGTAAAGAAAAAGTCTGCACTTTTTACGAGTTAGGAGGGTGTGATCTTGAGTGAGATGGTTATAATAGCACAGTTTCAGAAGTGCATATTACAAACTTTTCCAACAAATAGTGGTGATGAAGACTGATGAAGAATCTTGAAACAAGTAATCCGCACATTTTTCTGTGATTACAAGCTTGGTAAAACTTTGGTATTGATAGAATTCATCAACCGTTCTATGCCACACAAACACATCTACCTGGTGAAAAGTTACGTTCAAGACTCGATGATATTACTTTTTCTATTGCAAAATTGAGACAGTTGTGGCGACTTCAGCGTTCATAAATAAACGGTGTAAATACACAGAAAGTGTGTAGCTATTTAAATACTAGTATAATAATAGTTGTTGCTTTTCTCGTTCTTTAATACAGTTTGTTGAATTAATGTATTTAATGCAACTCCTATACAGGGTTACAGAAAACTCTTAAACGTAAGTAGTACTGTAGTTATATTGTTTACATACATTGTATTTCTTTTGTTCTCAAATGCAGTCCTGTACTCAATCAAACCGAGCCTGCAATATTTTCAATTTTGCCATGTTGTGCTTTCTTTACTGTGTAGGGATTCTATTTTTTCTATTTTGCTAACAGTAACTAAACAAAAAATACTCATTAAACTATACGAGGTATTTCATTTAATTCTAAAAGATCTTTTTAGGAGATATATCTTGTCTTGTTATTTTGGTGATTTGATATCCAGTTGCCATACTGGAACCTTTTGTAAAATACGAATATTTTATGATTTTGATCCAGTTTAACTCTGAAGGTGGTCTCTCGCCAACATAACAAACAATTAATTATACAGATAAGTGTGCACCAATAAGGAAGCATTTCTAGTGTTGATTTTCTTTTGTTATAGACTTTACTACTTTAAAGAAGAAACTTAACTGTGTAAAAGAATAAAAGAAATTGAGAATAAATAAATAAATATATATATATGTATGTTTTTGTGTCTTTCTTGGAACTCATTTTTACACTTTTCAGGTGCTGGCTCTTTAAGAAACTTTGGCTTAAATCTTATAAGGTTTAAAGTTTCAACATTGTTTACCTTTTAACCAGGAATTGGCTACTGTAACAGCAATGTTGCAGACATGAAACCAATACCGGATTCTGTACCTCGCTATAAGTTCCAGCCTGTTGCGATAGAAGAACTCTTTCGTTAGTGGCGGTTGTCAACATTTGAGTGACTAGTGTTGTTATTCTACTTTTACCGCAACTTATGAGGTGTGCTTGCTGACATTTGTCTGTTGTGGCAATATTGCTCAATATTCCCTTAAGTGTTTGCAATATCAAGATTTGTCATTGCCATATCTGTTCACAATTTTAATTGCTCCCACGGCATGGAATTTTTGCGAAAAATAAAAAATAACTCGTAATGAACTATTAAAAGTACCTAAATCGCTTCGATTTAGTATTCAACAATGCAGTTAATGTTTAGTTATTCATGCTGTAAAAATTAAGATAAAAGTTCTCCTTCAGACATCCAGATGATGGGCGGGTCCCTCGGGACGAATATTCCGATCCGATCCGAAATATATGGCAGATATCCCTAATTCGTTCTGGACGGAATGATTTCCAAAACATTTTTTAAATCAATCGTTTCAATATTACTGAGCCATTTTGAACGTCTACAGTACACTGGTCATGTTATACACATGATATTAAATTGGACATATTTCATTTCTTTGGAAGATGACTTTGTTTTTAGATTATTTACTTGTAATGTTTAACTATACAAGCTTCTAACTTCTCAAAATGAGGGGTAGGTTTTTTTGTAATACTGATATTAAAGTGACATTATGCTCATTATTTCATTGTCAAATTGACTTTAATTGACTATATATTTCAATAAACTGGTCGTTATAAATGGTGATTGACCAACACATGATATTTGAAAATGCTTAGGGTAAAAATAAATCTACCTAAATATATAAAACAGACTACCCCCCTCTTTTTATGAATTGAAAGTTACAATTACATTCCGACAGACAATTATACACATTTTACAAGTCCTAGTGAGATATTTATCGCTCATGTGAAGTAAATTATAAAATTGAAAGGAATTATGAGAAAATGTTAACTTATTTTGACTTTCACCTGTTCACTCTGCCATGGATTGACATAGTGTCACTTTAATATGCTTTAAAACTTTATAAAAACGAATTTCTTTCTAAATCTAGATTAATGGTGATTGTGGAGAACTTTGTTAAATATTTTCAATTATCAGTCCTTTAATATTCAATGAGTCATTTGGCACATTTCCCATTTCCAAAAGTGGTTGTATTTGACGTCTGAAATACATGTAGTCCTAATTATAAGACCTATACGTAACCTATTTCATATTTATCATTCATTAATCTGATATCTAACATTTTTCATTTTCCATGTTACGTTAGGTGCAAAATCGTGTAGCAAAAAAATTGACATTAGACATCGATTTAGATCTAATGAATTTAAACAATTAAAACAGCGTGTATTTACATTAATTTTGACCTATTTATGAACAAAACTAAAAAATAAATACCTTTAAACAAAATAATTGAACTGTCACATCCGAAAAAGCATGATTAAATTCTCTTATTTTATCAAATATTTTATACAGCCGATAAACAAATGGCCGCCAAACAGTGCGCGAAATCTAATTCGCTAATTCAAATGCAAGCGTTTAAATGAGCCAAAAATTTCAAACGAAACATTTTTGACTGAAATATTTGCCTATGCACCGCCAGCGAGTACGAATATTTTTCCGTTCAAAAAATTGGAACCGATCTATAAAGCGCTTTACTTAACCAGTATGGCCGATGAGCGAAATAGATTGATATTTATTTTTCATTTTTAATTGATAAGTACATTGTTTGAAAGTTTTTGTTAATGATAGACCATGCAATTGAAAGAACAGAAGATAAGTTTTTGAATAAAGCTTAAAAGGCAAGTCAACAAACATTTTTTTAATTTTTCATAATGCTACGCGTTTATGAGCAATAACTATTAGGCGTCAGGCTTGACCAACATAAAACTATAACAAGTCTGTAACGTCTAATCTATTGGACTAATATACATGTATTGATATTTTGATAGTATAGTATCATTTTTCTAATTCTATTTTTCATATTAATTAGTGTTAAAGCTACTCTCCCACACAAAACAGACCTAAAACATCAACATACATGTATTTTTTTACAGTTATTAAATATGCATAGAAGTAAAATTTGCAGTTTTCACGAGATAACTGTCACCTAACACTTACTATGTTTAACATGACATAGATATAAACAACCCTTTTACCACATTCGTGAACATGTTACGAGTAGGACAGCTTGTTGCAGAGCAGAACTTAATGTCAGTTTTAAACCGATATATGTCTTCATTTTTTCTTTATTAATAGACATAATTTTTTTATGATATATTGTGCAGCCATCGATTTCAGTACAAAAAAAACCTAATCAAGCGCACAACTGTTCTACCCGCGAACGACGGATCTACTTAAAACCAGTTATTAATAACGAGTGTCAATATTTACAAAATAAAATGTTGCACAGTTTAAAATGACTGTAGCATAAAAAAAAGAAAAACTTTTTGATGACAATTTATTTCAAAAATGCCGACACTACAATGTGTGGGATAGCTTTAAGGGAAAATTTTGATATATATTATAATTATAAGGTATGGCATTTTAAAGTTATGTTAGAAAGAGCGCTTTTATGATGACCTTTTTTAACGAACATTATATAACCAATTTTTTGTGTTAAGGATGAGCGTTTTACGTTTCATAATGATTCATACGTGCTGTAACTTAGCGCAAGAAGGACAACGGCAGTAACAAAAGTTACAATAAGAACTCTGAGAGTTATCAAAAGAACTCCGTGACATTTAGAAAATAGGGCATACATTTGTTAGTATTGGCTTCATTTTTGCATCTTTCCAATTAAGTATGGCGACGAAGAAGATCACAACTGGACAGGTCAATGTGTACGAAAGAGCAAAAAATTTGATTTTTACACAAAACTACCATATTTTAAGCAAGAGGCTATGAAAAATAATACAATTTGTATGGCAAGCCTTATCATCAAAGTTTGATTTAGCATTAAAAACTCCCTTTTTAAAGATTTTTCACGAATGTTTCTTCGGTCTTGGAAAAAGTTTTCCGACGAAATCCGTAACGTTTTCCAGGATCTCCGTAACAGTCAGTTCCTCCCCCGTGGGTAGGCAGATAGAATTTACAACATTACAGGTGCGACCAGGAGACAAGTTGAGGTCAGAATATTCCGTTTAAACGTTGTGGTTCAGGTACACGAACACCCCAATCTAACTTTTTTTGCAGAGTTAAATAAAGTTATGAAAATAAAACAAGACTTGTTTGGCTTTTGTTTCTTGTAGAAAGGACAACATGAGTTGTAAAGTGTTTAATGATGGTTTAAATCATGCTAAATGCTAATTAAACAGTTTAGCGCCGGTATGTATGATAATAATAGTATAATAAAATTTAACTGGAATCCCACATAAAATCACGCAATATTTCTAAAAATAAAATACAGCAAATATCGGTCGATTTTTAAGTGCTTTATCAAAAGGAGTGTTTCAAGCTAAAAAAATGGAAAAATGTAGGTGATTCTATAACTTTTGACAGGTACGTTTGTATTTATGTTAAATTTTGGTAACGTACATCATGATCATATCACATGAATTCGTAAATGACAATCTTGTTTTCAATTCATTACTATTCTGCTCATCGTTCGAGTGACAATTCATGAGTTGCGCGCTCTGCGGTCGGGGACCAACTTCATATGGTACAGGTTGAAACAGTAAAACATGTTTCTATTGAAACATATTTAGCTATTCTCCCGTGTGAAAAAAAATTAAACGATCGAAACAATACATAAAGGTCAAATAGCAATTTATTATTATTATCATTATTATTATTATTATTATTATTATTATTGCGACGGACGCCCCCTCAGGCGCGTTCAGAGCTAAGTCATCTACACATGGAATTTCGTCGGCTACAATCGCGCAAAGTGTCCTAAACCGAATTAACAGCCCAAGAAATAGTACATGAATTTGATCCTTTAAAACTCACATACTTTGTCGGGATATCTTAAAATCTTCCATATTTAGCCTTTTCAATTTCAAATTAAGTTATCCAAATTAAAATATGAGCGTATTTGATTGATAAAAACGTTGTAGTCCCGTATTATTGCGCAATATGCAAATTACTGCCGAAACGATTTACAGCTGTCGAAAAAGTAGGACAGCAAATTATACTATAATAAAGGTGTAAGCTCTGAGTTCCAAGAAATTATTAGTAGGAAATAAATATTTCTACATTATACAAAACATTATTATTAACAAATCAAAAGTTTTTCGTGACTCTAGAATAACTCGCGCATTAATAAAAGAAGAACTATTTTCGTGACTCATACCGCGGGTTTAGCTGAATATTCAGCAGTTATTAATAAATTAGATACAGTACAATGGTTAGTATAAATATCTATTTTTGAAAATCTATGTAACAACAGAGTTTTTCAACACTTTACCACCATGTAGTCTTTCATGATAATCTTTATTGAAGGAAGTTATAGTATAATATAAAAAATACACTTTTAATTGCTGATGATTTTAACCAAAAATATTTTTAATGAGACATATGGGACATAATGATTACATACAAAATGTAATGGCGCGAAAGGTGTAAGACGTGTTTTTGTGTCTCTCGAAATTGAGTGTTTTTTTGTTGGATATAATAAACTGATATTTTGGATTTTTATATTAGTAGAGAGGGAATTTAATCAGTGAAAGGATGGACCTAATATTAAGATAATATGAAAAACAAAAAGAGAGGAAAAAGGAAAAAAAGTAGTGAAAGTGATGATGAACAAAATTTGAGTAAATTATCAAAATTCGAATTATCGCCTTCGGCTACAGACCAGTCAATAGAGGTAAGCGATCGAGGTTTTACGTGAGACGAACTCTATATTATACGAACAAGATCAAGAGTCAATATCACAAGTAACTGTACAAGTGATGTATTGAGCGGTCAAGTCAACCGTGACAAATCGGTAGATTGTATCAATATGGCGGACAAGTCTGGTGGGCCTACAAATGCAGATATTATTGCTATGCTAGGAAAAATGAACTTAAAGTTAAGTGACGTTGATAAAAAACTTGAAACTCTGGAGTCTATTCAAAGAAAGGTAGAATCTAAAGTGGAAGGGCTAGAAAACAAAGTAGACAATTTTGATAAAGAACTTAAACGTTTATGGTTACATGTTGATTCAAAAGTAAAACTCAGCGACGATAAAATTGATCGCGTAGAAAATAGAATAGCGTCTGCGGAAATTGAAACATGGGAAGCGTTTAAAATAATTGGTAATCTTGAGAAGAAAAATGAAGAGATGAAAGAATCGTTACTATACATGCAGTCGCAATCAATGCGAAATAATCTTATTTTTGGTGGGATTAAAGAGAAAGGATATGAAAAGCCCGAAAACACTGAAGACCTTTTAAGAAATTTCATGGTGGAAAAGTTACAGCTCGCAAAAGATTTCGTGTCGAACATTAAAATTGAAAGAGCGCATCGCATGGGTGCTATATCAAGAGACCAAAACGAGGCTCAAAACAGAAGTCGAAGAATTGTATGCAAATTCAATATGTTCGCCGACAGGGAAATTGTCCGGAAATCCAGCAATAAATTAAAAGACACAAATTATTATATATCGGAACAGTTCCCGCCGGAAGTAGTAGCAAAGAGGAGGACACTTTTCAGAAAGATGAAGCAAGAAAAGAAAGCCGGAAATACAGCATGGGTGTCGTGTGACAAACTCTATGTAAATGGGAAAATTGTAACAGATGTATAGGAAAACGCGGATGGGCTTAAATGCTTAATATGGAACTGTAACGGACTGAGTTCTAATAAAACAACAGACAAAAACTTCACTGACTTTTTAACCAAAATGACGTCATCATCTTAACTGAATCATGGACTAGTAAATCAAGTGAAATAGATTTAGAAGGGTTTTCATGTAACAATTTATATCGTAAATTCAGACACCGCAATGCTAAAAGAAATAGCGGTGGTATTGTTGTGTATCTCAGGAATAATGTTAAAGATGGTATTTCAATAGTAAAAAATATACATGACACAATTATTTGGTTAAAATTTGATAAATATTTCTTTAATAATGCTTCTGACATTTACCTAGCTGCAGTTTATTTATGGGGAGAAAATTCACCCATTGCAAATTTGATAGATATAGATTTGTTCGACTGTTTACAAAATGATATAGAACATTTTAAGTCGAAAGGCACGGTGTTTGTTTCAGGAGATTGTAATGCAAGGACATCATGCAAACATGACTATATATTATGTGATCAATTTGTGCCCGACATCGACTCAGATGATTATTGTATTGATACACCCTTGCCAAGATTTTCAATGGACAAGGGGAGTAACTCATATGGTAATAGATTAATTGACATGTGTAAAGCTACCTCCCTTAGAATAGCAAACGGCCGCTTAGGTGACGATTTCGGGAAAGGTGTTTTTACATGCTATAATTATAATGGTGCTAGCTTAATAGATTATTTATTATTGTGTGAAAAAGATTTTGAAATGATAAACAATTTTTATGTATGTAATTTTAATGAATTCAGCGACCATGCTGCCTTAAATTTTGACATTTTGTGTAACTCGGTTAACGCAAATGGTTCAAAGTATTTAATTACAAGTATATTAAATGGTGTGATAATGATAAAGAATTATATCGTTTTGGAATTATAGCAAAATTGCCTGTTTTAAATGATATATTATTGAAATGTAATGTAAATGATGTAAATAGTGTAAATAATACGGTGAATTTATTCACGAGTGCTGTGAGAGAAGTGGCAGATCCTCTTTTTTTAAAACATGGTTGTACATTTCCAAGATTTGATGTAACTGAAATTGATGATTCCTGTAAATGGTTTGATTTAGATTGTAGGGAAACAAAACAATTGTACAAAAATGCATTAAAACAGTTTAATATGTCACACAAGAGACTGATAGATTAGAATCAGTTCAACGTAAAGCTAGGTATAAATATGTTGTTAAGAAAAAACGTCGTTCTTTTAAATGGCAACAAACTAAAAATTTGGAAAATTTAAAAAAGAGTAAACCACGTGATTTTTGGCGCTATTTTAAAAAGAAACAGGGACGTAATAATTGTGAAATACCTTTGTACGATTTTAAAACATATTTTGAAACTATGTTCTCTGAAGTAAATTTTTCTTTGAATGAAAGAGCAGAAGATTTTAGCAATGTCCATGATTTTAATGATTTTAACCCTGTTTTTTTTCTGAATTAGATGGAAATATTACTTTACAGGAAGTACTTAAGGCAATTTCTATGCTTAAACGAAATAAAGCGGCGGGGATAGATAATCTTTTAAACGAATATTTTATAGAAGCAAGTGATATTTTGTCTGGACATATAACAGAGCTATTTAACAATATTTTAGAATCTGGCATTTTCCCCGAAATCTGGACAAGAGGTTGTACATAAAAAGGAAATAAAGAAAATGTACAAAATTACAGAGGAATAACTTTATTAAGCCATCTTGGTAAATTGTTTACTAGTATTTTAAATCAAAGAATAACTAAATGGTGTGATGAAAATAATATTATCTCTGATGCGCAGTTTGGTTTTAAAAAAGGTAGTTCGACTACAGAAGCTGTTTTTATATTGCATTCTATAATTGAAAAATATTTGAACCAGAATAAAAGATTGTATTGTGCTTTTATTGATTTAAAACGCTGTTTTGATTCTATATGCAAGAATGCACTTTGGTTTAAGATGTATTATGCTGGTTTGAATGGTAAATTATTAAGAATTATAAGAAGTATGTATAGCTCTGTTAAATCTTGTGTTAAGTCCTGTGGTAACTATTCTGATTTTTTTATATTTCGATTGGATTACGTCAAGGGGAGATAATTTCGATAGTTATGTTTTCCTTGTTTATTGAAGATCTAGAACTTTATTTGCAAAATAACTTAAATTCTGGTATAGATCTTCAAGACATTTGCCTAATCTTACTTTTGTTTGCTGATGATAGGGTATTAATTAGATGAGTTGACCACAGCTGGTCTAGACTTGTTAATAATATTTTGTCCTAATTTTCTATTCATAGTTTAAACCAATAATTTGATTATAGTTTTCCTTTTGTATATTTTGACCGAATTAGTTACTAGTAATCCTTTATGGTATCATTTTTCTATTGTATACTTTAGACCAGATTTATGTGACCCCTAATCCTTTATGGTCGTAATCACCGAGTCCAATCGTTCACTATGTTTCCCAGGCGGAGAACGCATGAAGAGATCAATTTTACAGGTGGAAAACTGATACTGTAGTAAGAAAATTGTCTTCAATTTCTTTGAAAATGCATATTTCACAAAACTTCATAGCCTTTTCTGATCTCGTATGATTACTTTATCCGACAGGCATCTCAAACTCGCCAAATCTTTGTTAACTTATTAGATCATTATCGACAACTGCACAAGAAAAGTCACAAAATTGGTAAAATCGCTCTTTGATAGCCAATAACTTGACATCCAAGCAAACTTCTAAACATTTGTATCGCTTTAAAGGTTCTTTATTAACATCGTGATATTACATTACAATAGACTGTGTTAAAACAAAAATAAAACTGTAATTTCATGTCTCATCCGCTGTTCAGATCTTGTGTTTCGTTTCGATAAGCATTGAACTCTGCGGATTCCACAGTATATGTTACAATTTATTTAAGACAATGTTGTAATATAAGACAATATAAGAAACATACTTATATGATGTATTAGAAAATATGACAGCAAATATAACTCCTGTTATATAAGATTAATTTTCCTTAATTTTTGATCCTGTACTTCTTTTTCGACATGTGCAGTCTTAAGGAAATTGCCTCTCTTTACTTGTTATTAATGCTATGTTTCATAATAATTATGTTTTGTGTTTTATTATTTCATGTAAATATTTGTATTTTTTGTATGTATATATGTTATGCTCTTCAAATATTGGAGGAAATAAAAGAATATATTCCGTATTTTTAGAGTATAATATCGTTCAAGCGAATTTTTTTCAAAATGAACGCATGAGCCGAACTTTTCATGTGGTTTCATCAGATTGCAAAATGAACGCATGAGCAGGCGGAATTTATGGTTACTCCAGTTTTCATGGATATCTCACATGTTATCGATCACTGAACCTTTAAATTCCAAAATTTTCGTTCCAAATGTTTGAGCAAACAGAAGTATTTTCATACCTTATGACGAATTGCTTATAAGCAATAGATGAAGGTCCGTTCGGTTCTGTGAAAATATAATAAATCCTCATTGCTAAAACTTTGAGTAAAATATTTGCAAAATACAACATCATTGGTTGATGGGACTTAAATTTCCTGTATGTTATAATTAAAGATGTTACATACACTTAAAGAACCTGTGACTCAAAAATGTTATGTTCTTATATGAAAAATCTTTGGCTTAAATAAAGAATTAACAATGTTAAAAGTTACAGAAAACCTTTTTGATAAGGATATTGCCAAAATTTAAAATTTCCGATAATAAAAGGAGATAATTAGAAATCTGGTTTTGGTAAAAAAAATCAGTTTTGCATTCAAATAAAAATTTCACAACCTTTTTTCCTCAAGAAATATCATATAATGTGTTTAATAATGTCAACTTCTTAAGTATATGTTTTTCAGAAGAACTGACTTCATATACAACTTTCGCAAGGATGTTACATCCTTAATTATAACATACAGGATCTTTAAGCAAGAATATATATATCATCTTCCTTACAAAAAAATGAACACACAAGAAAATGTTGAAATAACACATATTTTTTTAGGTTCATTATAAGTTTTTCTTTTAGAAATAATACACTTTTTATTTTAATGAAGAATAGGCAAAGTATTTATCAAAATGTGTTTCTAATTACCTCCCTTTATTTGCAGAACTTGTTTAATATTGGTAATTCTTTATATTATTTGAGTATCGAGTTTATCATATTAGACTATTAAAGTAAAGTTTTGAGGTACAGGGACTTTAAAAGAATATACATACGCTATTATTTGTCATTTGTCCTTTGTTGTATTTGTTGTTTAATATTATGCATGTGTGATAGTAATTGTATATAATTATTCAGGATTCATGATTTAATTATCAAAGTACATATTTTGTAAAACAATCATTTACAATCTATAAACTTGTAATTCGTCGTTTAAAAAGGAAATTTATATCGTAATGTTGAATATTTAAACGTGATTCGTGTATAATATATTTTCATATGCTCATACTCTAAAAACAGGGAAGAAATAATTGTACAAAATAACATGTATTGGAGAAATTAATGAAATTACATCAATGCTACAATCGTTTACAAGTTTTCGAGGAACTATTATGCTTTTCTTTGTCGTCTTAACCACTGCTTTTGCAAATATTACAAACGAGGAATTACTTCAATTTCACACGCTCTTTCCCAACAGACCTCGTACTTTTGCTTATACATATACATATATACTTTTACATATATATATTTATACAGCGTACAAAGTATATTTTAATTTATAAAAAGATGTGTCTCTCACTTATTTGGAATAAAATTTGAAATTTTTAAAGTTTGAATATGTTAAATTTGTTAGATAATTAGTAAAAACTGGAGTTTTAAAAATACCACCTGCTCATGCGTTCACTTTGCAAACTTATGAAACCACATGAAAAGTTCGGCTCATGCGTTCATTTTGAAAATTCGCTTAAACAATATTATACTCCAAAAATACGGAATAGAAATAGAACAGGCTTTTGTTGGATGAGGATATGTTTATAAAGAACCTTTGGAGCGATACAAATGTTTAGAAGTTTGCTTGTATGTCAAGTTATTGGCTATCAAAGAGCGATTTTACCAATTTTGTGACTTTTCTTGTGCAGTTGTCGATAATGATCTAATAAGTTAACAAAGATTTGGCGAGTTTGAGATGCCTGTCGGATAAAATAATCATACGAGATCAGAATAGGCTATAAAGTTTTGTGAAATATGCATTTTCAAAGAATTTGAAGACAATTTTCTTACCACAGTATCGGTTTTCTACCTGTAAAATTGATATCTTCATGCGTTCTCCGCCTGGTGGGAAACATAGTGAACGATTGGACTCGGTGTGATCAAGGAAAATAGCCGCTGTTTTTTCACCGATCAAACTCCAGTGATTACCTCCCTTGGCATAATTATAAGCGGTGGTTAGAATTCTATTTTTAGTAATGGGAATACCCAAACATTACTAAAAATAAAATATGTCGGAATAATATAAGAGGTAAGGTTTAGAATATGTGGAAATGTTAATTTTTATGAAGCTATATCAACAATAAATTACTGTAGATATGTGCGCAGATACAAAACTTATTTTTTAACTTGAAATTCAGTCATGGGAAACCACTTTTATCTAACCTAACTAGATCTATTGCGTTATTTTGTGTAAATTTATATAAACACTAAAACAGTGCTTTTTACATTCGACAGTCAAATAGGAATAGAAACTTTAGGAGTAGAATACTTTTGTCCCGTGACAATATTTATTTAGAGTTTAAACAACAAAAATACATAGTACTGAGGTGTAGAGGAGCTGGAGTTTTTATTCATTTATTCATTTTTATGTTAAATTAATAAAAAGAAAAGAAGATTAAAAAAAAAAAACAGGTAAAATAATGATGTCCTTTAAATATATTGAATTTTACAAGTATACTGTAGTTAAAGTTATGTGTTAAATAAAATTTTTAACAAATAATTTAATAAACATAATGTACATTATAATCATAAATGAAACCATGAAAACCAGCAAATTATCTGAAAGAATCAATAAACTAAGGTCTCTCTGTATATGTGCTTTATGTCTTTATATCATCTATGTATATATTCTTTATATATGTATAAATTATGATATTAAAAGCATCTTTACATTACTGATAGATCAACAACCACTGAACAAATAAATAAAAAACTAAATCAGGCGTTTTTCGAGGTTTTGGTGGTCACAAGCCAGTACACATGAATACTCATTGAAAGTGATTCTGATGAAATATATATTTTTAGGAATTACAGGTATGCATGACCTTTTCAATAATGATTCAGATGAGAGCACAGATTGGATAATTAATTTGAGTCTTGCAAAAGTTCCAGCAAATTTTTTTCCTGGATAGATCCTATATTGGGAGGACATATCAATATAAGGTTTGTTTTTCATATATATTTATATATAGTTTACTCAAATATCTCAAACCTATAGTACAATAATGCATGTCTCATACATAATTATTTTATTTCCCCTATGACTAATGTGTAGTACTTATATGACTTTCTAGAATCATGTGATGTTCATGTCCTTCCTGTGTAAAGTTTATGATACAAATATATCTTTTTAATAACACTGTGGTATCTGGGTTTTTTTTTTGTTTTTGTTTTTAACATTTACCTTTGATAATGGTTTAGGTATTGGTCTAGTAGTAAAAATAATTAAAATGTATTGATTTAGTCTATTTCTGTAATGTAATTATGGAATACCAAGGTCACTGATAAAAAGTATATTTATACATTATAGTCGCATCAATTTAATCTTTATATCTAACCAAAAATAGATTATGAAATAAGTAAAATAACTAATGGGACATAATCAAAACTTGATTTGTCATCAACATAATTAACAGTTAACTCTCTTTGAAATTTAAATATATGGCCAATTGTTATACCTTTGTGAGGAGTTGAATTAGTAAAATATTGGTATTTCACTAGATTTATTATTATAATGATCATTGAGCGATAATGAAAATGTTTATGATACAATATAAAAAAGATTGTCCTTCATTTGATTATCAAAAGACTGCCCCACTCTTGTGTTCAATACATTCTCAACAATTTTTCTGTTGCTCTAAGGGATAATTGATTATTTTTGTGTTGCCACTACTCTTATATCTTAAGGGATCTTTTCTCCATTGTCCATCTGGCCCTTTAATGATTTTTATTTTTAAAGTTTGTCTGGACTACTCCTCTTATACCACTAATGTAATTTCAATGAAACTTTACATAGGATTGATTGGTAGCTCATGTACTTGTGCATATTACATGAGTTTTCCACTTGAATGATTTTTGGCTGAGTTATGGCCCTTGAATAAAAAGGCGTTTTTTGTGTTGCCAGCTAAACAGTTAGTATGTCTGGACTTCTCCTCATTAACCAATGGTGAAATTCAACATGATCAGTACTAATCCAGTTATGCATACTATTGGTATTTTCAGACTCAATGATTTTTGTCAGTTATGGCCCTTTAATAAAAATGGTTTTATAGGTTGAACAATTTTTGTCTGTGTTACAGCCCTTGAATAAAAAATGCATTTTGCCATGTTAATGATGTTTGTGTCCACCAGTGGCGTACCTACAGATACGCCAATACACACGGGCGTATAAAAAGAAAAAGTTTCATAAAAAAAATTCAAAAATGAAATCATTAATTTGGGCGTAGATCGATCAACATATACGTTACAGCTGCTAATTGATTCTTCAGGTATGCTTAGGATGTTACCTTATTTGATTAATATAGTAATATTCAATCAACTTATATTCATTTAAAATTATGTAGAATAGTTTTGACACTGTGAATCAGATCTTTGCAGTGAACTATTGCCAACATTTATCGGCACAAACCAAATTCAACTTTTGTTTATTTGACCGTAAAAAAGAATACCAGTATTTACAAAATATATCACTACGCTGTATATTCTTTATTATACGTAGTCTCATCTATACATATTTAAAACATAGACAAAAAATACAATGAGAACAATATATAACCATATAAGACACATTATGTCTAAATTTTTTTAATTTCGCCGACTTTAGATAACAAATTTGCGAGTCTGTTTATACCAACATGCTTTATGTGCGTGAGGCATTTAACTGCGTAATGAAATAACTTAAATATTTTGAATGGAAATTGAAAGACTATAGTTGAGAACAAAAATGTTAAAGACAATATTTATTGTGTACAACATTGACATACTAGTTATACGCATTAAAAAATATTTTAAGGAAGCTAAATGATGGTGCGAATCTATGTTTTAGCTGTGAATATGATAACTTTATGTTACACTAAACATGTACATGTAAGCTGTTGTGTTTGTATTAAAGTCATACAGGTCTGATTTAAAGAAATATTTTCCTTGATAATATCTCATGTTAAGTTATGGTGAACAAAAGAAAAATAACAAAGAAAAAACTAAACTTGTTTCAAAAAGAAATAAAACCAATCTTTTTTACATTAGAGAGACACCTGGCTATGTTTTGTTTTTCTAAAAGCAAATAACTTTTGAACTATTTAAAACAGTGTTCACGTTAGACTTTGTGCTATTTCTCTTACATTTAATATAATTTTATGTACTTGATGTTATTTTCATAACTATAGATAAAGACAATAGTAGTACAATTGGCTTAAATATCCCCTAAATCCGTAGTTATAGCACATAGCTATATTTGATATATAAGTATCTGGTGATCCTTCTGCCAAAAACCGGCACTTATAATAAACCGAGGTTCGCCCCTGTCTCCTGCTACACACACAGTACCTGCAACATGCAAATGTCTATCCTGAGGTCTCACTTGTGGTCACTGATCGCTCTTGTTTCAAATTAGAATACCGGTAATAATAGAATTGAATGCAATATTGCAAAATGTGAATTTTTTTTTTTTAATAGTTAACTGACCATTTCCACTTGTATGGGCTTAAATCTTCATTTTGAATTTTACAAACTTCTGAAAGTTTATTTTGCTCTAGTGTACATATCATATCAAATGTCAGAGATGTATTTTTAATGTAAATGCATAATTAATAAATACTTCAAACAATTACATGCATCATGTGGAAGTTATTACAAGTAGTATTAAAGTGGATTGGTCTACAATGGGCACATATACATATTCAAATATTGATTGAAATGTATCATTTGAATATTCTTGTCAAGTATTGCCTGAAATAGAATTGTTGTTAAAGTTACATATTCAAATAGTTAAAAAAGTTATAAAAATGTATCATTTGGACAGACAGACAGACATATACTTTTATTTACAATCAGGTTCTACAGTACATAATACATGAGAACAACATGATTTAATCACTTAGACAAAAATAGAATATATATACACATGGCAGTTTGCATGCAGATTATGGTGTGAATATAAATTGTGGAAAGGGTATTTACTAAAATTAATTATCATTATTATTTTATCAACAAAGGGGACAGTTTAAAATTATATACTTATATTTGATGGTCATCAAATCTTAAATTGTACAATCACTTTAGCGTTTATATAGCCATTTACGTAGTACACATTCACAAGTGTGGCACTGCAAAGTGGGTGTTTACAGTTCAGTAATTGGAGATCTCGTGCGACTTGTGAATGTGTACACGTGTGTTTATATAAATATGGAATACAGTTTATAAATGAAGAAATGAATGGATTAACACATGAGTTGAAATATTGGATATTCTTATAAAGTATTGCCTAAAATAAAAAAATATAAAAATGTATCATTTGGATATTCTAAAAAACTTTATAAAGTATTGCCTGAAATAGAATTGTTGTTAAAGTTACATATTCAAATAGTTATAAAAGTTATAAAAATGTATCATTTGGATATTCTTATAAAGTATTGCCTGAAATAAAAAAAATATAAAAATGTATCATTTGGATATTCTAATAAACTTTATAAAGTATTGCCTGAAAAAGAATTGTTGTAAAAGTTACATAATCAAATAGTTATAAAAGAATATAAAAATGTATCATTTGATATTATTATAAAGTATTGCCTGAAATAAAAAAAAATTATAAAAATGTATCATTTATGGATATTCTAATAAACTTTATAAAGTATTGCCTGAAATAGAATTGTTGTCAAAGTTACATAATCAAATAGTTATAAAAGTTATAAAATGTATCATTTGGATATTCTTATAAAGTATTGCCTAAAATAAAAAAAATATATAAAAATGTATCATTTGGATATTCTAATAAACTTTATAAAGTATTGCCTGAAATAGAATTGTTGTCAAAGTTACATAATCAAATAGTTATAAAAGTTATAAAAATGTATCATTTGGATATTCTTATAAAGTATTGCCTGAAATAAAAAAAAATATAAAAATGTATCATTTGGATATTCTAATAAACTTTATAAAGTATTGCCTGAAATAGAATTGTTGTTAAAGTTACATATTCAAATAGTTATAAAAGTTATAAAAATGTATCATTTGGATATTCTTATAAAGTATTGCCTGAAATAAAAAAAAAATAAAAATGTATCATTTGGATATTCTAATAAACATTATAAAGTATTGCCTGAAATAGAATTGTTGTTATAGTTACATATTCAAATAGTTAAAAAAGTTATAAAAATGTATCATTTGGATATTCTTATAAAGTATTGCCTAAAATAAAAAAATATAAAAATGTATCATTTGGATATTCTAAAAAACTTTATAAAGTATTGCCTGAAATAGAATTGTTGTTAAAGTTACATATTCAAATAGTTATAAAAGTTATAAAAATGTATCATTTGGATATTCTTATAAAGTATTGCCTGAAATAAAAAAAATATAAAAATGTATCATTTGGATATTCTAATAAACTTTATAAAGTATTGCCTGAAAAAGAATTGTTGTAAAAGTTACATAATCAAATAGTTATAAAAGAATATAAAAATGTATCATTTGATATTATTATAAAGTATTGCCTGAAATAAAAAAAAATTATAAAAATGTATCATTTATGGATATTCTAATAAACTTTATAAAGTATTGCCTGAAATAGAATTGTTGTCAAAGTTACATAATCAAATAGTTATAAAAGTTATAAAAATGTATCATTTGGATATTCTTATAAAGTATTGCCTAAAATAAAAAAAATATATAAAAATGTATCATTTATGGATATTCTAATAAACTTTATAAAGTATTGCCTGAAATAGAATTGTTGTCAAAGTTACATAATCAAATAGTTATAAAAGTTATAAAAATGTATCATTTGGATATTCTTATAAAGTATTGCCTAAAATAAAAAAATATAAAAATGTATCATTTGGATATTCTAATAAACTTTATAAAGTATTGCCTGAAATAGAATTGTTGTCAAAGTTACATATTCAAATAGTTATAAAAGTTATAAAAATGTATCATTTGGATATTCTTATAAAGTATTGCCTGAAATAAAAAAAATATAAAAATGTATCATTTGGATATTCTAATAAACATTATAAAGTATTGCCTGAAATAGAATTGTTGTTATAGTTACATATTCAAATAGTTATAAAAGTTATAAAAATGTATCATTTGGATATTATTATAAAGTATTGCCTGAAATAAAAAAATATGAAAATGTATCATTTGGATATTCTAATAAAGTATTGCCTAAAATGAAATTGTTAATAAAGTTCTAAGTGTTACACAGTAAGAACATATATATAGTGAATAATAATATTTTGTTCTAGAACATTTAATTATTTTCAATATAGATACCTGGTATTTATAAAATTGTGTCATATGTGTATCTCACACCTGCCAACAACATCCATATTTAATTTTTTCGCATTTTGTTGGTATGCATGAAACTAAATGCTGTGACCATAATTATATAAATTATATTACAGACCTTCCATTATAGACTTATTCACTTTAAGCTATTTATAATAATGTAACAACTATAAAATTATTGGAGTATTATTCATGAGTTCTTTTCTTTTCAGAAAAATAATGATATTTATATTCAAAATAGACCAAAGATATAATAGTGCTTTAGATTGAACGACAAAGATAAATTTTCAAGTTCACTGAATTTGATTTAATTATTTTATTGGAAGGGCCAACTCTCTAATGTTGTTTAAACTTGTGGTCTGACCCTTTTGCTTTTTATGAACAACTACAGCATCCAGTCCTATGTCTGCATGTGACATTGTATCTGTGTTTGTATAAAATGAATATGAAATATAAAAAAAATAAGATATTATTAAAAATGAAAAATATTTTTTTTCCTATTTTACAAATATGCTTCCTTTTATTGGTGATATTTCAGAGATGAGTTGCTCAACATTAAGAAAATGCCACATCGTAAAAACACTGAGGGTTTACCCAAGGGTACATTACTTTCAAAGAAGGTTTCATGATCTAATACCAAGATTCAAAAGATTGACAGGTAACTCGAGCTCTTTTGTTAGTCCCCTACCGGTTTACCGGAGGGGACTTTAGGTTTACCCTCCGTCCGTCTGTCCGTCTGTCCATCCGTCTGTCCGTCCGTCTGTCTGTCCGTCCGTCAGTCCGTCCGTCCACAAAACTGGATCCCGCGATAACTTGAAAAGTACTGAAAATATTTTTATGAAACTTGGTATATGGATAGATGGCAGTATGGAGATTATGCACGTCTTTTTCTTTTCTTCCTATGTTGAAAATTCTGGTTGCTATGGCAACAAATAGGCTGAAAATATGGCAAATTTTACACATAAACTGGATCCAGTGATAACGCAAAAAGTACTGGAAATATTTTTATGAAACTTGACATATAGGTAGATGGCAGTCTTGAGATTATGCACGTCTTTTTCTTTTCTTCCTATGTTGAAAATTCTGGTTGCTATGGCAACAAATAGGCTGAAAATATGGCAAATTTTACACATAAACTGGATCCAGTGATAACGCAAAAAGTACTGGAAATATTTTTAGCTCACCTGTCACAAAGTGACAGGGTGAGCTTTAGTGATCGCTTTTCGTCCGGCGTCCGTCCGTCCGTCCGTCCGTCGTCCGTCCGTCGTCCGTCCGTAAACTTTTGCTTTAAATGACATCTCCTCATAAACCACTGAGCCAATTTCATCCAAACTTCACAGGAATGTTCCTTTGGTGGTCACCTTTAAAAATTGTTCAAAGAATTTAATTCCATGCAGAACTCTGGTTGCCATGGCAACCGAAAGAAAAATCTTTAAATATCTTCTTTTAAACAACCCTAAGAGCTAGAGCTTAGATATTTGGCATGAAACATCTTCTTATGAGTGTCTACCAAGTTTGTTCAAATAAAAGCCCTGGGGTCAAAATTGGCCCCGCCCCGGGGGGGTTATGCACGTCTTTTTCTTTTCTTCCTATGTTGAAAATTCTGGTTGCTATGGCAACAAATAGGCTGAAAATATGGCAAATTTTACACATAAACTGGATCCAGTGATAACGCAAAAAGTACTGGAAATATTTTTAGCTCACCTGTCACAAAGTGACAGGGTGAGCTTTAGTGATCGCTTTTCGTCCGGCGTCCGTCCGTCCGTCGTCCGTCCGTCGTCCGTCCGTAAACTTTTGCTTTAAATGACATCTCCTCATAAACCACTGAGCCAATTTCATCCAAACTTCACAGGAATGTTCCTTTGGTGGTCACCTTTAAAAATTGTTCAAAGAATTTAATTCCATGCAGAACTCTGGTTGCCATGGCAACCGAAAGAAAAATCTTTAAATATCTTCTTTTAAACAACCCTAAGAGCTAGAGCTTAGATATTTGGCATGAAACATCTTCTAGTAAATGTCTACCAAGTTTGTTCAAATAAAAGCCCTGGGGTCAAAATTGGCCCCGCCCCAGGGGGTCATTGATTTTCCCTATATGCATATAGTAAAAACTTAAAAAATCTTCTTTTAAAGAACTGTAAGAGCTAGAGCTTAGATATTTGGCATGAAACATCTTCTAGAGAATGTCTACCAAGTTTGTTCAAATAAAAGCCCTGGGGTCCAAATTGGCCCCGCCCCAGGGGGTCATTGATTTTTCCCTATATGCATAAAGTAAAAACTTAAAAAATCTTCTTTTAAAGAACCCAAAGAGCTAGAGCTAAGATATTTGGCATGAAACATCTTCTAGTGAATGTCTACCAAGTTTGTTCAAATAAAAGCCCTGGGGTCAAAATGGCCCCGCCCCGGGGGGTCATTGATTTTCCCTATATGCATATAGTAAAAAACTTAAAAAATCTTCTTTTAAAGAACTGTAAGAGCTAGAGCTAAGATATTTGGCATGGAACATCTTCTAGTGAGTGTCTACCAAGTTTGTTCAAATAAAAGCCCTGGGGTCAAAATTGGCCCCGCCCCGGGGGGTCATTGATTTTTCCCTATATGCATAAAGTAAAAACTTAAAAAATCTTCTTTTAAAGAACCGTAAGAGCTAGAGCTTAGATATTTGGCATGAAACATCTTCTAGTAAATGTCTACCAAGTTTGTTCAAATAAAAGCCCTGGGGTCAAAATTGGCCCCGCCCCGGGGGGGTCATTGATTTTCCCTATATGCATATAGTAAAAACTTAAAAAATCTTCTTTTAAAGAACTGTAAGAGCTAGAGCTAAGATATTTGGCATGGAACATCTTCTAGTGAGTGTCTACCAAGTTTGTTCAAATAAAAGCCCTGGGGTCAAAATTGGCCCCGCCCCGGGGGGTCATTGATTTTTCCCTATATGCATATAGTAAAAACTTAAAAAATCTTCTTTTAAAGAACCGTAAGAGCTAGAGCTTAGATATTTGGCATAAAACATCTTCTAGTAAATGTCTACCAAGTTTGTTCAAATAAAAGCCCTGGGGTCAAAATTGGCCCCGCCCCAGGGGGTCATTGATTTTCCCTATATGCATATAGTAAAAACTTAAAAAATCTTCTTTTAAAGAACTGTAAGAGCTAGAGCTTAGATATTTGGCATGAAACATCTTCTAGTGAGTGTCTACCAAGTTTGTTCAAATAAAAGCCCTGGGGTCCAAATTGGCCCCGCCCCGGGGGGTCATTGATTTTTCCCTATATGCATAAAGTAAAAACTTAAAAAATCTTCTTTTAAAGAACCCAAAGAGCTAGAGCTAAGATATTTGGCATGAAACATCTTCTAGTGAATGTCTACCAAGTTTGTTCAAATAAAAGCCCTGGGGTCAAAATTGGCCCCGCCCCAGGGGGTCATTGATTTTCCCTATATGCATATAGTAAAAACTTAAAAAATCTTCTTTTAAAGAATCGTAAGAGCTAGAGCTTAGATATTTGGCATGAAACATCTTCTAGTGAATGTCTACCAAGTTTTTTCAAATAAAAGCCCTGGGGTCAAAATTGGGACCGCCCCAGGGGGTCATTGATTTTCCTTATATGCATAAAGTAAAAACTTAAAAAATCTTCTTTTAAAGAACCCAAAGAGCTAGAGCTAAGATATTTAGCATGAGACATGTTCTAATGGGTGTCTACCAAGTATGTTCAAATAAAAGCCCTGGGGTCAAAACTGGCCCCGCCCCGGGGGTCATTGATTTTCCTTATATACATAGCAAAAACTTTAAAATCTTCTTTGAAAAAACCCAAATAACTAGAGTTTAGATATTAAGCATGAAACATCTTTAAGTAAATATCTACAAAGTTTGTTCAAATAAAAGCCCAGGGGTCAAAACTGGCCCTGCCCGAGGGGTGTCATTGTTTTTAACTATATGTGTATAGTAAAAACTTAAAAAATCTTCTTTTAAAAAACCCAATGAGCTAGAACTTAGATGTTCTGCATGAAACATCTTCTTATGGGTGTCTACCAAGTCTGTTCAAATAAACAAATAAAAGCCCTTGGGTGAAAATTGGGCGGGGGTGGGGGGGGGGGGGGCTATATACAGGTGAGCGACCTCAGGGCCATCATGGCCCTCTTGTTATGAAACTTGACATATGGGTAGATGTCAGTCTTGAGATTATGCACGTCTTTTTCTTTTCTTCCTATGTTGAAAATTCTGGTTGCTATGGCAACACATAGACTGAAAATATGGCAAATTTTACACATAAACTGAATCCAGTGATAACTCAAAAAGTACTGGAAATATTTTTATGAAACTTGACATATGGGTAGATGGCAGTCTTGAGATTATGCATGTCTTATCTGTTCTTCCTATTTTGAAAAAATATCAGTTTCCTTGGCAACAAATAGGCTTAAAACATGGCAAATATAACAATATTTGTGATTAGTCAAAAAGAGTTGAAAATTTTTATGAAATTGCATCTTAAATCTCCTGTTTAAGAATTTTGCTTTTAAAATGTTATATTTTGGTAAGGGGATGTTTCAAATATTTTTACTTTAGAGTGTCCCTCAGTCCGTCTGTCTGTCTGTTCATAAAAACTGTTTCCTGTGATCACTTTTAAAGAACTTTTTCAACAAATTTATTTGAAATAGAGAAAAATTGAAACTTTAGTGAATGGCCCTTCAGAATGTTGATGGGGTTCTTACCGGTAGGGGACTTATGGATTGCTTGCAATACTATGATAATTGCTTGTTTATATGTTTTATTTCATATTTTTAGCTTTTGTTATTGCAATTTGTCAGGCGTCTGTTCGGCTTCCATCTGTAAACTTCAGATGAATTTTCCTTTGAAGCTCACCTTTAAAAATTGTTGAAAGAATTGAATTCCATGCAGAGCTTTGGCTGCCATGGTTACTGAAAGTAAAAACTTATCAAGTTTCTTTTAAAAAATCCCAAAGAGCTAGGGCTTAGATATTTAGCATAAAACATCTTCTAGTGGGTTTCTACCAAGTTTGTTCAAATAGAAAACCTTGGGTCAAAATTGGCTTAAACATAGTCGGGTGAACCTAAACACAATTTTTAAATTTAAGCCCTGGAATCAAAATTGATCCCACTTGGGGAGACAGATTTTTTGATAATGTGACTTCTCATAGCAACCAATGACTTTCCATTGTAACCATTGGCTTCCATAGCAACCATTGGCTTTCCATAGCAACCAAACATTTCAATAGCAACCAATGACTTTCCATAGCGACCACTGACTTCCGTAGCAACCAGTGACTATCCATAGCAACCTGTGCCTTTCCAATAAACCATTGACTTTCCAGAACAACCAGTGAATTTCCATAGCAACCATGGATCTTAGAAAGCAACTTTTCCATAGCAACCATTGATTTACATAAAACAAGTGATGTCTATAGCAACCACAGACTTTCATAGCAACCAGTGACTTTCCATAACAACTAGTGAATCCTATAGTAACCATTGACTTTCCAAAGAGACCACTGACTTCCATAGCAATCATGAACTATCCATAGCAACCAGTGACCTCCATAGCAACCATTGACTTTCCCTATCAATCTGTGACTTCCATAGCAACCAGTGACCTCCATAGTAATCATTGACTTCCATAGCATCCATAGTCATCCATACCAACCAGTGACTTCCTTAAGCAACCAGTGACT